TTTTCCCCAAAATTCCAGGTTTTTGCCCCAAAATCCCCATTTTGGACCCAAAATTCCCTTTTTTCCCCAAAAAATCCCATTTTTATTCCCAAACTCCCCATTTTTATCCCCAAAATCTCCATTTGTCCCCAAAAATCCCTTTTTTTCCCAAAAATTCCCCTTTTCTCCCCCCCAAATCCCCATTTTTCCCCAAAAAATTGTTTTTAAGCCCATTTTGTTCATTTTTATTACAATTTTACCCCATTTTGGGTCATTTTCCGCCGATTTTGGGCTCTTTCAGCCCCGCGCGCCGCCTTTGGCCACGCCCCCTTCTAAACCCCGCCCCTTTCCCCTCACGGAAACCCCGCCCCGCCCCAAACCACGCCCCCTTTTTACCATATATGGAACCAGCGCGCTAAACCACGCCCAACTACTGGCAGACCCCGACGCGCACATGCGCACCGGAACCGGAAGTCGCTCGATATGGGCGCCGCCATCTTTGTTTTGGGCACGGGAGTTTTGGGGTTTTTTTGGGGAAATTTTTGGGGGATTTTTGGAATTTTTGGGTATTTTTGGGGAATTTTGGGATTTTGGGGAATCCCGGGAGGGGTTTGGGGTCTTTAAATGGATTTTTTGGGGTTTTTTTGGGGGGATTTTTGTTGATTTTGGGGTTTTAAAGTGGAAATTTGGGAATTTTTAAGGGGAATTTTGGGGTTTTTTTGGGAATTTTTGGGGGTTTTTTGGGTTTCTTTTGAGAATTTTGGGGTTTTTGGGAATTCCGGGAGGGGTTTGGGGCTTTTAAATGAAATTTTCGGGGTTATTTTAAGGGGATTTTCGGTAAACCGCGCGCCGCCTTTGGCCACGCCCCCTTTTTACCATATATGGAATCCCCGCCCTTAACCACGCCCAACTACTGGCAAACCCCGACCCGCGCATGTGCACCGGAACCGGAAGTCGCTCGTTATGGGCGCCGCCATCTTTGTTTTGGGCACGGATCCAACATGTCCGAAACCTACGGTGGGAACGGGGGGGGGGGGGTTTGGGAATTTGTGGGGTTTTTTTTGGGAATTTTGGGGTTTTTGGGAACCCTGGGAGGGGTTTGGGGCTTTTAAATTAAAATTTGGGGTTTTTTTAAGGGGATTTTTGGGGGTTTTTGGTGTTTTTAAGGGGAATTTTGGGGGTTTTTTTGGGATTTTTTTTGAGGTTTTTGGGAATTTTGGGGTTTTTTTGGGAATTTTGGGGGTTTCTTGGGAATTTTTGGGGTCTCGGGTTAAATTTGGGGAATTTGGGTTCCTTTAAATAAAAATTTGGGGGTTTTAAAATGAAATTTTGGGGTTTTTTAATGGAATTTTGGGGTTTTTTTTGGATCTATTGGGGATTTTTTGGGGATTTTTGGGGATTTTTTGGGAATTTTGGGATTTGTGGGAATCCTGGGAGGTCTTTGGGGCTTTTCAATGAAATTTTTAGGGTTTTTATGGGGAATTTGGGGAATTTTGGGTTTTTTTGGGAATTTTGGGAATCTTGGGAGGATTTTGAGGGGTTTGGGTTCCTTTAAATTAAAATTTGGGGGTTTTAAATGAAATTTGTGGGGTTTTTTAACGGAATTTGGGGTTCTTTATTGGGAATTTTGGGATCTATTGGGGATTTTTGGGAATTTTTGGGGATTTTCTTGGGAATTTTGGGGTTTTTTGGGAATTTTTGGTGTCTTGGGGTAAATTTGGGGGGTTTGGGGTCTTTAAATGAAATTTTTGGGGATTTTTAAGGGGATTTTGCAGTGATTTTGGGGTTTTAAAGGGGAATTTTGGGAATTTTGGGGGTTTTTTGGGAATTCTCGGGGTTTTTTTGGGAATTTTTGGTTTTTTGGGACTTTTTTTAACTCTTGGGGTTTCTAAAGGGAATTTTGGGGATTTTTTGGGGAATTTTGTGGGGTTTTATGGGATTTTTTTGGGAATTTTGGGAATTTTTGATTTCTTTTTTAATTTCAGAATTTTTTGGCGGGAATTTTAGGAATTTTTGGGAATCCTTTAATTTTTTGAAATCTTTGGGGGGATTTTTTTAAATTTTGAGGTTTTTAAAGGGTTTATTTTAAAATTTTGGGAATTTTTTTGGAGGGAATTTTGGGATTTTGGGGGAATTCTTTAATTTTCTTTAGTATTTTTCAATTTTTTGGGAATTTTTTAGGAATTTTGGGAATTTTTTTCTCCTCCCCAGATTTCCTCTTCAAGTTCCTGGTGATCGGCAGCGCCGGCACCGGCAAATCCTGCCTCCTGCACCACTTCATCGAGAGCAAATGTACGGGAAAATTCGGGAATTTTGGGAAAATTTGGGAATTTTGGGAATTCTGGGGCTTCGGGAATTTTTCAGAATTTTTTTTGAATTTTTTTGGGTGTTTTTAAGGCATTTTTTAGATTTTTTTTGAATTTTTTTCGATTTTTTTGGATATTTTTTAAATTGGAATTTTGGGAAATTTGGGGATTTTTGGGTGATTTTGGGAATTTCGAGGGTTTGGGAATTTTTCGGAATTTTTTTGGAATTTTTGGGGGCATTTTAAAGGCAATTTTAGCTTTTTTTTCCTTAAAAATCCCCATTTTCCACCCATTTTTCACCGGGTTTTTTTTAATTTCAGGAATTTTTGGAAATTATTTGGGAATTCTGGGAATTCTTGGAATTTTTAGGAATTTTGGGCCATTTTGGGTCATTTTTCCCCATTTTTCCCATTTTTTTCCCCATTTTCCCCTAAAATCCCCATTTTAAACCCAATTTTTTTTGGTTTTTTTTTAAATTTTGGAAATTTTA